CGAGTTGAACTGCAGTAATACCGCCATTTGAAATGTTGATGCCTGCAGAGTGTACCTATTCTTGAAGCAATTTGTCACCAGCTCCCCCTTGGACATGTGAAACAACCACATCAACTTACGGCCTGAATGCTGACTTGCATAGAATGTGGTGAAGCGTTGAAAACTTTTCTCCAACTGTTGTGATGAATAATAAGTAGAGAAAACATACGTTATTCTATCTTCTGTTAATTGAGAGCAACAGTTAGTGTAAACTGGTATTAATGATTCTGTGCGTCGTATTCTACCAAACTGCTTTATCAGCGATACAGTTTAAGCACATAGTTCTTTTTGGAAGATATATCTACAATTAGTGTGTTACATCATCAGTTATACTTGCTACAAAAGAAATTTTGTTGGTAGTCCAAATCACATGAAAACCTTCTTACACTTTGACTGCCAAAGACAGAGATCTCCGTCTTTTAAATCCGAACTGTTGACCGCCAAAGACGGAAATCTCCGTTGTTTTCATTTTCCTTTTTTACATGATAGAAGGGGTATGTCTGAATTTCTAGAAAATCTCTAAAATGTTCAAATCGGTTGGGACCACATATATTTCACTATTTCAATGTGATCTATTCTTAGTGACCTCATATTACATGGTGATACTGAAACGCGATTATCTCAGCTTCATTGTGTGAATATGCGTAAAACCCCAAAAGTGAGTCACTTTCATTTTACTGTTATGGGGTTATAAATTCTGATTTGAATAAAGTGTTTGGTACCAGTGTAAAGGTGAGATGTTTTTTCGTTCTTTTAGTATATAATACATGTCAAGTTGATCACGTATGCACTCTTAGCGAGCTTTGGAAATATGGTCAAATTTGCTAAAAAGGCTGGCGGTAGCTGATAACATTTTCCAAACACTGCTGCTGGTGGAAGTTTTAATAATGAGAATAAAAATTCTATTAGTACACTCTTCTCACCTAATTGATCAAAACTTACCTCACTTGGAAGGTTGAAGGCAAATCCTTGCTGAAACGGCCAGGAACCGGAGCTTAGCACTTGGATGGCAAAATCTATATCCAATGGATTGGTTTGTAAATGTCCCTTGAACCGTTCATTTAAGTCCTTACTTAATCCTATATCTTGGAACATTCGCTGAAGCTTTGAGGTGTATTCAAAGCCACACGCTTGCTAAAAAAGTTAAATTAAAACAACACATGTTTAATTCAAGTTTTTGATTGCCAAATTTAAATATTTCTATTTCATATTTATGTGTTTTGTCAAGTTCTTTGCTTCAGGAAAGTTGGAACAATATAAATTCATAGACAGTGCTTCCTTAACCCCAAGGACCATGATGGTCTATATAGGATATTTAGGAATTATATATATTATAGTCGAGCATGCCATTCAAACCAGCGCCGATATTATGCCTGTAGGTTGTGGCGCCCCCACCCTAACTGCTCAGCTATTTGACTCGCCAACAATACTAAATGCAATAATAGAGTATTATTTTTACTATCATGATATACTACCTTTAGTTTTGAGATCATGCTAGCCTCTGCATCATCGCTTGCTGAATTATGCTGAACTAGCCTCTTAGCCAGCATCTTGGAGTAGAACTTTTGGAAAACATCCTTATCATCAATGTATTTGAAGACAACCATCTAAAATTTCAGAAAAGGAAAGGAAAATTGTAAATGATTATTTTATGGTAAGAATTGTTTTCACCAATGTATTGAAGATGCATTTGATATATAATCAAATTTTGAAGCGATATAAAAAGATTAATTGATGTTTGAGATTAATGATGTTAGACTGTTCAGCAATCATTTTCATGATTGGTTTCTGTAAAATATGGTAGTAGTGTGTGATATAATAATACAATATTTATTATATTATTTCAACTGAAAACTGTTTAATTTTTGTATTTTGTCCAAAGATTACATGTAAGGTACAAATGCAACAATCAGTTACAGCAATAAGAGTTAATTAATCAACTTTATTTACCACTTGATTGAGAGTGTCCTCTAGTTCAGCTTCTTCAGGGTTCTT